TCTAGTAAAATGTTAGTCAGAGTCTAAACAACTGTTCAAGTAAAAAGTTGCTCCGAAACTGAAAAACTTTTCTAGTAAAAAGTTGCTCTGAATCTGAACAACTTTTCCAGTGAAAAGTTGCTCTGAAACTGAACAACTTTTCCAGTAAAATGATACTCAGAATCTAAACAACCTTTTTAATAAAAAGTTGCCCAGAGTCTGAACAACTTTTCCAGCAAAAAGTTGCTTCGAAACTGACCAACTTTTCTAGTAAAAAGTTACTCCGAAACTGAACAACTTTTCTAGTTAAAAGTTGCTCCGAAACTGAACAACTTTTCTAGTAAAAATTTGCTACGAAATTGAACAACATTTGTAGTACTATTATACTCAGATTCTGAACAACTTTTCTAATCAAAAGTTGCTAAGAGTTTATACAACTTTTCTAGTAAAAAGTTACACAGAATCTGAACGACTTTTCTAGTAGAAAGTTATTCAGAACCCGAAAAACGTTTTGCTCAACAAATTTTCTAGCAGAAAGTTGCTGAGAGTCTTAACAACTTTTCTAGCAGATAGTTGCTCTGAGTCTGAACAACATTTTTAGCAGACACTGAACAAATTTTCTGGTAAAAAGTTGCTTACGGTCTGAACTACTTTTCTGGTGAAAAGTAGCTTAGAGTTAAAACAATTTTTCTAGTAAAAAGTTGCTCACAGTCTGAACAGCTTTTCCAGTAAACAATTGCGTATAGCATTTCTAGTAAAAATTTGCTCTGAATCGGAACAACTTTTCTGATAAAAAGTTGCCTTCAGTCTGAACAGCTTTCCTAGTAAAAAGTTGCTCACAGTCTGAACAACTTTTCTAGTAAAAATTTGCTCTGAATCTAAAAAACTTTTCTGATAAAAAGTTGCTTACAGTCTGAATAACTTTTCTAGCTCACAGTCTGAACAACTTTTCTGCTAAAAAGTTGCTCACAGTCTGAGCAACTTTCCTAGTAAACATTTGGTGTGAATTTGGACAACTTTTCTGATAAAAAGTTGCTAAAAAGTTGTATAAAGTTGCTTAGAAAAATACTTTTTACAAACCCCTCCATTCCAACATGTTTACCTTATCTCTTACAGCCTTTATCCTTAGCTCCCACTTTCCCCTGCTGTTATTTATTTCAATTTCAAATTGTATTGGAATGTGTAGGCCTACCTCGTCTTTATCACATTGACATTGATTAAGTCAGTTAATTTAAAATAAAAAGAAATAATATTATTGAAATATCTTTTATTTTGGCATTTGACTTGTGTGAGTATTCCTACACCTATTTACAATACAAACTTAAATTCCCACCTAGGGGCAGATAAAACACATAAACCCAAGCAATAGGGTGGGGGGAGATTCTCTTTTGTTCAATTTCAAAATACAAGTGTTTTTTCTCTATTATTTTGTTACTTTATCATTTACATTTTTAACTTGACATGTGGTGGCTGTTTAAATTTATTTGTTCTTCTAGATTCTAATAACAAGTCAAAAGAACTGGAATGTTATATTTTCTTACGCAAAAATTTCTCTCACGTTTTGTATATTTTCTTTAAATAATAAAGATAATAGGAAATTAGATAAGTGACGTTTGAAAGAAAATTGTTTAGGTTTAGATGTTTGAAAGGAAATTTAAATTATTTAATATCTGGCAACATATTCAGAGAAATGTTATGCTAATTTGCCAAAATGTAATTGTTTGATTTAAGGGAAATACAATTTGTTATACAATTAATTTTGTACATTTTCATCAAAATGTTGCTCAGAATATGAACAATATCTCTCTAAAAGAGTCTGAACAACTTTTCTAGTAAAAAGTTGCTCAGAGTCCGAACAACTTTACTAGTAAATAGTTGCTCAGAGTACAGACAACTTTTATAGTGAAAAGTTGCTCAGAGTCTGAACAACTTTTCTAGTAAAAAGTTGATCAGAGTCTTTACAACTTTTCAATTCAAAAGTTGCTCAGAGTCTGAACAACTTTTCTAGTAAAAGTTGCTCAGAGTCAGAACAACTTTTCTAGCAAAAAGTTGCTCAGAGTTTGAACAAATTTTCTGGTGAAAAGTTGGTCTGAGTCCGAACAACTTTTATAGCAAAACGTTGGTCAGAGTCTAAACAACTTTTCTAGACAAAAGTTGCTCAGAGTCTGAACAACTTTTTCAGTCAAAACTCGTTCAGAGTCTTAACAACTTTTCTATTCAAAAGTTGCTCAGAGTCTGATCATCTTTTCTAGTAAAAAATTGCTTAGAGTCTAGTCAACTTTTCTAGTAAAAAGTTGCTCAGAGTATGAACAACTTTTCTAGTAAAAAGTTGCTCAGAGTCTGAACAACTTTTCTAGTAAAAATTGCTCAGAGTCAGAACAAATTTTCTAGTCAAAAGTTGCTGAAAGTCTGAACAAATTTTCTTGTAAAAAGTTGCTTAGAGTCTAGTCAACTTTTCTAGTAGAAAGTTGCTCAGAGTATGAACAACTTTTCTAGTAAAAAGTTGCCAAGAGTCTGAACAACTTTTCTAGTAAAACTTGCTCAGATTCAGAACAACTTTTCTAGTCAAAAGTTGCCGAAAGTCTGAACAAATTTTCTTGTAAAAAGTTGCTCAGAGTCTAGTCAACTTCTCTAGTAAAAAGTTGCTCAGAGTCTGAACAACTTTTCTAGCAAAAAGTTGCTCAGAGTCTGAACAAGTAAAAAGTTGATCAGAAATTGAATAATTTTTCTAGAAAAAAGTTGCTCAGAGTATGAACAACTTTTCTAGCAAAACGTTGCTCAGATCTGCACAACTTTTCTAGTCAAAAGTTGCTCAGAGTTTGAAGAACTTTTCTAGTCAAATGTTGCTCCGAGTCTGAACAACTTTAATAATGAAAAGTTGCTCAGTGACTGAGCAATTCTTCTAGTCAAAAGTTGCTCAGATTCTAAACAACTTTTCTAGTAAAAAGCAGCTAAAATAAAAGAGTCTAAATAGCTTTTCTTGCAAAAAGTTGTTCATATTCCTTTCAACTTTTCCAGTAAAAATTTGCTCAAAGACTGCTACGTCTCAGAACAATAGGAGGTCGTTACACATATGAGCAACTTTCATTACCATAAGTTTACCAAAAATAGCTTTATGCTATAATTTTATTACTTAAAGTGTAAGAATTATTCAAAATTTGTGAAATTTTAATTAAATATTAAAAAAAACAAATAATCTTATTTAACTTGAAAATAAATATTTAAATTAAAATTTAACATAAATGACGCAAACGCATGTTTGAGTTGATTTTACCTATATTTGGAAAATTGAACAAAAATTTCATTAAATAAATTTTTTTTATTTAATATTTAAACAAGTGTTTTTATAGCAAACAATAAAGTTGCAATATTTTTCTTTAAAAAAAAAGATAATTATTTGTTTTATTTTTTCTCATATCTGTTAAAAGATATAAATAGAAAGAAAAATGTAATGATAATGATACATGTTTAAGATATACAATGAGGGGAAAAAGTTGTACTATACTAGAAAACTTTTTTATAGTTTCAAAAATGTAAAACATTACACACAGTTAGAACATATTTTCTAGTAAAAAGTTGCCCATAGGCTAAACAACATTTGTAGTAAAAAGTTGCTCAGAGGCTGAACAACTTTTCTAGTAAAAAGTTGCCCATAGGCTAAACAAATTTTCTAGTAAAAAGTTGCTCAGAGTCTAAACAACATTTCTAGTAAAAAGTTGCTCAGAGGCTAAACAACTTTTCTAATAAAAAGTTGCTCAGAGGCTAAACAACTTTTCTAATAAAAAGTTGCTCAGAGGCTGAAAAACTTTTCTAGTAAAAAGTTGCTCAGAGTCAGAACAACTTTACTAGTAAAAAGTTGCTCAGAGCATAACCAACTTTTCTAGTGAAATGTTGCGGTAAGTCTGAACAGCTGTTCTAGTAAAAAGTTGCTCAGAGGCTGAACAACTTTACTAGTAAAAAGTTGCTGAGAGTCAACACAACTTTTCTAGTAAAAAGTTGCTCAGAGTCTGAACAACGTTTCTAGTCAAAAGTTGCTCAGAGTCAGAACAACTTTATTAGTAAAAAGTTGCTCACAGTCCGAAGAACTTTTCTGGTAAAAAATAGCTTAGAGTCTGAACAAGTTTTCTAGTAAAAAGTTGCTCAGAGTCATGTTTTTCAGTTAAAATTTGCTCAAAGTTAGAACAACTTAACTAGTAAAAAGTTGCTCAGAGGCTGAACAACTTTTCTAGTAAAAAGTTGCTCAAAGTCAGGACAACTTTACTAGTAAAAAGTTGCTCAGAATCTGAACAACTTTTCTAGTCAAAAGTTGGTCACAGTCCGAACAACTTTTCTAGTAAAAAATTGCTCAGAGTCTGAACAACTTTTCTAGCAAAATGTTGCTCAGAGTCTGAACAGGTTTTTCAGTCAAAAGTTGCTCACAGTTAGAACAACTTAACTAGAAAAAAATTGTTCAGAGCCTAAACAACTTTTCTAGTAAAAAGTTGCTGGCTGAACAACTTTACTAGTAAAATATTGCTTAGAGTCTGAACAACTTTGCCAGTAAAAAGTTGCTCAGAGACTGTACAACTTTCCTAGTAAAATGATGTTTAGAGTTTGAGCAGCTTTTCGAGTAAGAGATTGATCAACTTTTCTAGTAAAAAGCTGCTCAGAGTCCAAACAACTTTTCCATTAAAAAATTGTTCAGATTGTGAACAACTTTCCTAGTTAAAAGTTGCTTACATTCTGAACTGCTTTTCTAGATACTCAGAATGTTGCTCACAGTTAAAACAACTTTTCTTGTATAAAGTTGCTCACATTAAAAACAGTTTTTCTTGTTGCTCAGGGTTAGAAAAACTTTTCTTTTAAAATGTTTATCAGTATCTGAGCAGCTTTTGTAGCAAAAAATTGCCCAGAGTCTGGAACACTTTTTTGATTAAAAAATTCTTAATTTTAGTTTTATTATAAATTTCTTTATTATAAATTTCTTTTATTATAAATTTCAGTTTTGTTAATTTTAATATTTTTCTTTTTTTCAATTACAGCAAATTGGCCGTTATATACGACGTGATGAATCAGCATTTTTCACGCCCAAAGCCAGTGAAGTAAGTATTCAGCATCTAAATATTTGTTATTTAATAAAATAAATGTTAATTAAAATGTTGCTAATTTCCATTTGTAATTCTAATACTTTCTGGTTTTTTTTTTTCTCAATTTTTGGTAACAAAACTGTTAAATTTTAAATGTTTTTATTGTAAACTTTTGCTAACACTTACACAAACATCTGCATATTTGCCTTGAATAACTAACAAACAACACTTTAACTAACTTAATAATATGAAAAATATGAAAAATATGAAAAATATATATATATATGTATAACAAACATAGCGTTTAAAACCAGCTGGCCAAAGACAAAGTATCTTAACAAGTCATCTAAATAATAACAACAGAAACAGCAACAACAACAACAATCATGCTAAAATAGCAGCAACATCTCCAGCAGCAACCATACTGGCCAATGGTGTAAATAATAGTAATAAAAAATTCATTACCAAAAAGCCACGTTCCATAAACAATGGCCAATTAAATACGAATGGTTTAACAAATGGCACAGCAGCGGCCAATGCCAAACATCATCCTCATCCTTCGCAAAGTTCACAAAAGCAAAACAAATTAAAACCGGTCAAAGAAAGAAGACCAACAGCTTTGCCCACCGAACAACCCACAATTGAAGGCAATACTGCCGCGGAGCATGCTAATGACAATAAGGCGAAATTTTTTATAGGCACCCATGATGAACATGATGATACCGATGAGGAGGATGAAAGAAAAGTATCCGAAGAGGTATTGGTAGTTGATTTTGCCGAGGATTGTGTGGATAGTAAATATGCTTCACCCAATACTTCGTTTAGTTCGAAAACTTTTGATATTTTAAATGCCAAATTGCGCAACAGTAAGCTACCCAGCAATACTAGTAATAAACTGAGTAAATTTACTCGTACTCCCACCAATAACTCTACGCTATCGTCACAACATGAAGTGATATTGGAAAAAGACATAGTAAATATACCACCACCACCTCCCTTGCCCCCCTCGCCTTTGGTTGTAGCTCACTCACCCTCGATATTGTCCCTTAAGAATTCCAAAAGTAAACGTGGTTCATGTGACACTGCTGCAAGTGTACAACAGCAGCCGTATGCTGTAGCACCATCCACACCCACCATACAAGAAGATGCTATGTTGACGAGTAGAAATTTAACGGAAACGGAAGTGCATAAAGCATCAACAGCAACATCAACAGCATCATCATCACTAACAGCATCAACGCATAACGGATGTGCTAAAGTAAGAAATTTTCTACATGCAACATGCATGACTTACAAACAGGCAAACATGCATTTAATCACATTTTTTTTCTCATATAACTCAAGCACACATCATCCCACCCACACACATACATATGTACACACACACAAGCCTAAACTTTTGACTTCCTTGTTTCTTAACAGGGGAATTTTTTCAATTTTTTCCTCTTTCTTTCATTTTTCTATCTTTCTCTTAAACATGTTTAACGCATGAATACTCAAATGACAATAACAACAACAAAATAAACTCAGAGTAAATATATGTATAACATGTTAAAGCTTTACTACAGATACTGACTCCTTAACAAACTGATTTTAAAATTAAAAATCTAGTCTTAATCCATATCGTTGTAAAAATTAAAGTTTTATATTCCAAATACTTTTTGCAATATTCTCAAATTTCCCGGACTTGTTATAATCCCTTGGTCTAGCTTAATACCTACTTTTTCCCTATTCAGACTATAATATGTATCAGTTTAAAAAAAATGCTGAGTTGTTGTTTAAACAAACGACTGGGTTTATTTTCAAAAAGACACGATGAAATATTTGCTACAGAGATAAGAAAAGTAGAAACAAATGAGGAACCGTGGGTTTGAAAAAACACAATTTTTCATTTGAAATTTTACTAGAGAAATGGAATAGACTGTGAACAACTTCATCCTGGAAAAGTTGTTAAGACACTGACTGACTCAGACTCTGATCAACTTTTTCCGAGAAATGTAGTTCAGAGTCTTGTCAACTTTTTTCGAGAAAAATTGTTCAGACTCTGAGTAATTTTTTACTAGAAAAGTTGTCTGTAATCTGTGAAACTTTCCACTTAAAAATTGCTCAGAATCTGAACAACTTTCTACTGGAAAAGTTCCTCAGAATCTGAGCAACTTTATACTAGAAAAGTTGTCCGGACTCAGAGCAACTTTTTACTAGTTGATTAGACTCAGAGAAACTTTTTACTAGTTGCTCAGACTCAGAGCAACTTTTTACTAATTGCTCAGACTCTGAGCAACTTTTTACTAGAAAAGCTGTTCAGTCTCTGATAAGTTGTTCAAACACTGACCAACTTTTTACTAGAAACACTGATCGGACTCCCGGCAACTTTTAACTAGAAAATTTGTTCCGAATCTTTTTACTAGAACTGTTGTTCAGACTCTGAGAAACTGTTTACTAGAAAAGTTGTTCAGACTCTGAGCAACTTTTTACTAGAAAAGTTGTTCAGACTCTAAGCAACTTTTTACTAGAAAGTTGTTCAAACTCTAAGCAACTTTTTACTAGAAAGTTGTTCAGACTCTGACCAACTTTTTACTAGAAAAGTTGTTCAGACTCTGAGCAACTTTTTATTAGAAAGATGTTCAGAATCTGAGCAACTTTTTAATAGATAAGATGTTCGGACTCTGAGCAACTTTTAACTAGAAAAGTTGTTCAGACTCTGAGTAACTTTTTACTAGAGAAATTGTACGGACTCTGAGCAACTTTTAAGTAGAAAAGATGATCAGACTCTGAGCAACTTTTTATCAGAAAAGATGATCAGACTCTGAGCAACTTTTTAAGAGAAAAGTTGTTCAGACTCTGAGCAACTCTTTGTTACAAAAGTTGATCAAACTCTGAGAAACTCTTTCTAGAAAAGTTGTTCAGACACTCAGAAACTTTTTACTAGAAAGTTTTGCAGAATTTGAGCATTTCTGATTAGAAAAGTGGTTCAGAATATGAGCAACTTTTTACTAAAAAGTGCTCGGACTCCGGGCAACATTAAATTGTGAAGTTTTTTAGTATCTGAGAAATTTTTTACAAGAAAAGTTGTTCATACTCTTAGCAGCCTTTTAGTAGGAAAGCTTTCCAGACTCTGAGCAACTTTTTACTAGAAAAGTTGTTCAGAATCTGAGCAACCTTTGACTAGAAAAGTTGTTCAGATTCTAAGTAACCTTTTACTATAAAGGTTGTTCAGACTCTGAGCAACCTTTTGCGGGAATAGTTGTTCAGAGTCTGAGCAACTTTGTATTAGAAAAGTTGTTCAGAGTCTGTGCATCTTTTTACTGAAAAACTTTTTTTAAACTGTTTTCTCGAAAAGTTGTTTAGACTTTAAGCAACTTTTTAGTAGAAAAGTTGTTCAGTTTTTACTTTAAAAGTTAGAGAACTCTGAGGAAGTCATTTATACCGCAAAATTTATTCTTTTCCTAAGCAAATTTTTTACTTTAACTAGTCCCACTGTTATTTGCAGCAAAACCTTGGCATGTTTAAGAAATAAAACAACAATTCGTAAAGTCATGAAGACGAAAAGACAAAAGTAGTAAAAATAAATTTATCCAACTTTAAGAAGCGTCAAAAAGCTAAGAGTTAAAATTTAAACAGTGATGAGAAGTATCAGGTCCAAAATTTCTCAAAAGTACTTTTCAAGTACCTTCTCGGCATTAGTTTCACAAATTTTAATTAATTATTCTAAACAGATAACTGCTTTTAAACATCGTAATAAAATTCTTAAACCTTTCATAATGTTACTTAATTAAAAATGACCCAAATAGAGAAAAGAACCATAACACAATTTTAGTCTCACCTCCTAATACTACCCACACAAACTAGAAAAAATACTCCATTCACTCTAGTCTCTCAACACCTCAACTTTTTATGAAAAATGTTCATTTCTCTACTTTCTGTTTCCTTGTAACGGTATGTTAATTAAAATTTACTCTTACTCTAACTAAACTTGCACTTGTTATCTTTGATGTTGTATATTTGTTATTGTTTAATTACTAATACTAAATCACTAATTTAAAGGTGTTTTTTTCGTTTTCGTTTTCTTGTTGTTGATGTTTTTGCTACTTAACATAACATAAACTGTTCTAACACAATGATTTTGTTTCTCTATGAAATTTGTTTCTTTCTTTCAATTTATCCTTCTGCTTCAACTTCAACTACCTGGAGCTTTTGAAAGATATTATTTTGTTTTTTTTTCTCGTTTCTTCCTGCACTTCTCTTACAGTTGCGTAAGTCTGCCAAATTTACTTTAGACGAAGTACTTAAACATCAAATTGATGATGATTCAACATCACTAACAGATGCAAATGCAACAACAGCAACAACAAAATCAGCGACAAGTGATTCCACAGCACGAGATTCTGGTGTGCAAGTAGAGGTAAAAATCAGGGAGTTTGTAAATAAAGGAAAATGCTTTTTTGGTTTTAAAAATGGTTTAGTGAAAGATAACAAAATTAAAGAGCAGTGATTCAGAAAATAAGTCAAGAGGAGTAAAGCTTTCATAAGAAAAGCTTAATTAACATTAAAGAATAAAGCTTTTTCTTTAAGTAAAGGTTTTTTTTAGAACCAGGAAGTAAAGCGTTTCTTTACAAGAGCTTTTACTTCCATAGGAAATAAATAATTTTCTTTAGTAAAGCTTTTACTTTAGAAAAGCTTTTTATCAAAAAAATTTTACTAAAAAACAACGTTTCCTTTAGAAAAGCTTTTTCTTAAAAAACTTTATTTTTCTTAAAAAAAACTTTTTATTTCAAAAAGCTTTTTCTTTAAAAAATTTTTTCATTAAAAAAAGCTTTTTCTTAAAAAAACTTTTCATTTAAAAAAGCTTTTTCTTAAAAATAACTTTTTATTAAAAAAAGCTTTTTGTTAAAAATAAGATTTTACTTTAGAAAAGCTTTTATCAAAAAATAATATTTTTCATTTTCTTTAAAAGAACTTTTTATTTAAGAAGGCTTTTCCTCTAAAAGAGCTTTTTATTTAACGAAGCTTTTTCCTCAATAGAGGTTTATATTTAAGAAAGGTTTTTCTTTAACTGAGCTTTGTATTTGAGAAAGCTTTTTCTTTAAAAGAGCTTCTTTTAAAGAGCTTTTTATTTAAGTACGCTTTTTTCTTTAAAAGATCTTTAAAAGAGGAGTGAAGCTTTTATAAGCAAAGCTTAATTAACATTAAGGGAGTAAAGCTTTTTCTTTAAGTAAAGTTTTTTCTTTAGAACCAGGAAGTAAAGCGTTTGTTTGCAAGAGCTTTTACTTCCATAGGAAATAAATAATTTTCTTTAATACAGCTTTTATTTTAGAAAAGCTTTTTATTAAAAAAAATTTACTTAAAAACAACGTTGCCTTTAGAAAAGCTTTTTCTTAAAAAACTTGTTATTTATTTTTCTTAAAAAAAAATTTTATTTTAAAAGCTTTTTCTTTAAAAGAGCTTTTTATTTTAAAAGCTTTTTCTTTAAAAGAGCTTTTTATTTTAAAAGCTTTTTCTTTAAAAGAGCTTTTTATTTAATAAAAATAATTCTTTAAATGAGCTTTTTATTTAAGAAAGCTTTTTCTTTAAAAGAGCATTGTCTTTAAAAAAATTGCATTAAAAAAATTATTTAAAAACGCTTTTACTTTAAGAAAAGTTTATTGTTTTTTACTGTTTTTTTAGAAAAACATTATGTTTATTAAGCTTTTCGTTTAGAAAACTTTATGCATAAATAAGTTTTTCGTTTGGAAAAGCTTTTTCATTAGAGAAATATGTTAAGAAGTGATTTAACTTTAGCACACCTCTTAAGTGAGTAAAGCTTTTTCTTTAGAATAGCTATTATCCCTGAAAAAAGTAAAGTTTATTCGTTAAAATAGCTTTTAACTTTTTTAGGAAAGCTTTTTCTTTAGAGTAGCTTTTACTCATTTAAAAGAGGCTAAAGTTTTTCTCCTTAGAATAGTTTTTGCACCCATATAAACGATTTTTCTTTAGAAAAGCTTTTACTCCCTTAATGGTGTAAAGCTAGAACAGCTTTTAACTTTTAAAAGTTTTAGAAAATCTTATTGTATAAAACTGCATTTTTGGAACACCTTTTATTCCCTTAAGGAAGTTAAGCTTTTTTATTAGAAAAACTTATTTACTAAAGCTTATTTTAAAAGCTTTCTCTTTAGAAAGGAATTTTCCTTAGATCAACTTTCTCTTTTTAAAAGCTATTTCTTTACAAAATCTTGATCATAATTGAGCAAAGCTTTTACTTCCTTAAGTAAGTAAAGCTTTTACTCCTTTAAGTGAATAAAGCTTTTTGTTTAGAAAAGCTTTTTGTTTAAAAAACTTTCATTTCCTTAAGGAGTAGAATTGTTCGTCTCCAGAAAACTATTACTCCCTCAAGAAAATAAAGCTTTTTCTTATGAAAAGAATTTTAAGGGAATAAAGCTTTTTCTTAAGAAAAGCTTTTTATAACATTTCATTGAACTCCATTTGACTCTCATTAATCTTTTTATTATTTATAAATGAACTTATTTTTGTGTTTTACATCTAACCAGGAATCCACTCCTTCACCTAAAGACAGTGACAGTAGTGGAGATTCTCCCAAATCCCATCGTGTAGAGGGAGGTTTGATATTCACCCGTGCCAATTTGCCCATTAAAAAGGATGTACAAATTGAATACATCGAAAAAGATGAAAAGTAAGTTTCAATTAAAAAAGTAATATTTATTTATAATCAATTCTTTATTTCAAATCCACAGATCCCGTAATCTCATACGTACCGCCATAGAGAAAAATGATTTTCTCAATAACTACATGGACAAGGAACGCAAAGAAATGGTCATTGATGCCATGGAACTGGTGCATTTCAAACAGAATAGTTTTATAATCAATGAAAACGATGAGGGTTCCGAAATCTATGTTTCCGAGGAGGGTAGTTTTGATGTTATCAAACAGGGTCAACTTATTGGTAATTTTGGACCCTGTACCGTTTTCGGAGAATTGGCTATATTGTATAATGCCAAAAGATTCGCTTCGATAAGAGCGGCAACCAATGCTAGTGTTTGGAAAATTGATCGTGATAAATTCCGCAAGATCATGGTTATATCGGGTTCAAAGGAAAGGGAGGAGAATTTAAATTTCCTAAGATCGGCACCGTTTCTTAATGATTTGGGTGAAGATGTTTTGGGTAAAGTGGTGGATTTGTTGCAAAGGGTGAGTAGGGGTAATGAAATTCCATGTTCTGCTATTATCTGAGTTTTCATTTACAGAAATTCTTTGAGACTAATACCTGCATAGTTAAGGAGGGTGATATAGGCAATGAGTTCTTTATTATACGGGGAGGCACGGTGACTATTAAGAAGTTAAACGAAAATGGTGAGGAGAGAGTGGTAGATCGCAGAAAACGAGGAGATTACTTTGGAGAACAGGCCTTGCTGAATGCGGACTGTAGACAAGCCAGTGTCTATGCTGATGCTCCGGGCACTGAGGTTTTGAAATTGGATAGAGAGTAAGTTTCAAAGAGAGTTAAAGAGAGTTTTGTTATTATATGGTTTCACTCTTTTAGAGCTTTTATCAGCTACTTGGGCACCATACCACAACTAAGAGAACTGCCCAGCGAAAGCCAGGAATCGCGCAGTAGTGATGGTAATCGCAAATCCGAATTCGATAATGAATATGCCAATGTGGAGTTAACAGACTTAAAGAAAATTGCCACTTTAGGCTCGGGTGCTTTTGGCAAAGTTGATTTAGTGTCTTATGATAATAAGACGTTTGCTTTGAAGATAATTAAGAAAATTGATATTGTTAAACAGGATCAGATCGAACATGTCTATAGTGAGAAACATGTCATGATGAAATGTCGCAGTTCTCCCTTTATAATAGAGTAAGTTTTTTGGAAAAAAAAGCTTTTAAAAGTTTTCTCCCAAATTATTGTATTTCAAATGGTTTCTTAAAGATTATTTAAAACCTTCCGCAATGAGAAATTTGTCTATTTCCTAATGGAGGCCTGCATGGGTGGCGATGTTTGGACGGTAATGTCTCAGCGACGCTTTTTTGATGAAAAGACTGCTCGTTTTATAGCCGGTTGTGTGGTGGAAGCTTTTGACTTTTTACATTCCCATAATATTATCTATCGGGACTTGAAACCGGAGAATTTAATGTTGACCACCGATGGTTATTGTAAATTGGTAGGAATTCGATATGATTTAAAAAACTTTGTTAACTTATAAAAAAAATCCTTGTTTAGGTCGATTTTGGTTTTGCCAAACACATACCCACTAATCAAAAAACTCATACTTTTGCCGGCACCCCAGAATATGTGGCTCCCGAAATTATTTTAGACAGAGGTCATGATCGTTCTGTAGACTATTGGGCTTTGGGTATTTTGATATTTGAATTGCTAGTGGGTAAGACACCCTTTAGAGGACAAAATCAAATCAAAATCTATCAACAAATATTGGGTGGCATTGATGTAGTACAAATGCCCTCAAAAATACCCAAATCGGCTCAGGGTTTAATAAAAGCTTTATGCAAACAATTGCCCGCCGAAAGGTTGGGCTATCAAAGAAAGGGTATTTTGGATATTAAAAGGCACAGGTACCTAAAGTTTAAACAACTGAAACTAAAACCTAAACTTCAGCTCTATTTTATTAATTCCATTTCATTCCTTAGCTGGTTCGATAGTTTAGACTGGCAAAAGTTGCGCAATAAACAACTGCCCTCACCCATTAAACGCCCCATTACCAGTAATACCGATTTGCAATACTTTGGCCCCTCAGGCGTGGAAAATGATGTGGATCCTCCTCCAGAAACCAGTGGTTGGGATATTAATTTTTAAATTATGTTTTTATTTTCTATTTAAATATTTGTTAAATTTAAGTTTATTGTTAAATTCCAAAGAATTTTAATTTTATTTAATTAAACTATTGTTATTAGCTTTAAAATTTTAATTAAGTATTTTTGTATTATAAAATAATTTTTACTCTAATTATAATGATAAAAGACAATAATTTGTTAATTTAGTTTTTAAAACACACGAATATAATAAAATTTGAATTATTTATAAACTATTTATAAATAAGATAAACGACAAAATAAGTTGGCTTTAAAAGTAATTTTAAATAAATTTTTAAAAAATTAAAAGAAAACTAAAACAGATCTAGAACAGAACTACAACAGAACTAGTACAGAATTAGAACAGAACCAGAGGAGAACTACAACAGAACTAGAACAGAACTAGAACCGAACAGAACTAGAACAAAACTAGAACAAAACTAGAACAAAACTAGAACAAAACTAGAACAGAACTAGATTAGAACTAGAACAGAACTAGATCTAGAACAGAACTAGAACAGAACTAGAACAGAACTAGAACAGAACTAAAACAGAACTAAAACAGAACTAAACCAGAACCGAACAGAACTAGAACAAAACTAGAACAAAACTAGAACAGAACTAGATTAGAACTAGAACAGAACTAGAACAGAACTAGAACAGAACAGAACTAGAACAGAACTAGAACAGAACTAGAACAGAACTAGAACAGAACTAGAACAGAACTAAAACAGAACTAAAACAGAACTAAACCAGAACTAGAACAGAACTAGAACTAGACTAGAACAGACCTAGAACTGAACAAGAACTGAACTAGAACTGAAGTAAAACTGAAGTAAAACTGAACTAGAACTGAACTAGAACAGAACTAGAACAGAACTAGAACAGAACTAGAACAGAACTAGAACAGAACTAGAACAAAACAGAACAGAACAGAACAGAACTAGAACAGAACTAGAACAGAACTAGAACAGAACTAGAAGAGAACTAGAAGAGAACTAGAACAGAACTAGAACAGAACTAGAACAGAACTAGAACAGAACTAGAACAGAACTAGAACAGAACTAGAACAGAACTAGAACAGAACTAGAACAGAACTAGAACAGAACTAGAACAGAACTAGAACAGAACTAGAACAGAACTAGAACAGAACTAGAACAGAACTAGAACAGAACTAGAACAGAACTAGAACAGAACTAGAACAGAACTAGAACAGAACTAGAACAGAACTAGAACAGAACTAGAACAGAACTAGAACAGAACTAGAACAGAACTAGAACAGAACTAGAACAGAACTAGAACAGAACTAGAACAGAACTAGAACAGAACTAGAACAGAACTAGAACAGAACTAGAACAGAACTAGAACAGAACTAGAACAGAACTAGAACAGAACTAGAACAGAACTAGAACAGAACTAGAACAGAACTAGAACAGAACTAGAACAGAACTAGAACAGAACTAAACAGACTAGAACAGAACTAGAACAGAACTAGAACAGAACTAGAACAGAACTAGAACAGAACTAGAACAGAACTAGAACAGAACTAGAACAGAACTAGAACAGAACTAGAACAGAACTAGAACAGAACTAGAACAGAACTAGAACAGAACTAAAACAGAACTAGAACAGAACTAGAACAGAACTAGAACAGAACTAGAACAGAACTAGAACAGAACTAGAACAGAACTAGAACAGAACTAGAACAGAACTAGAACAGAACTAGAACAGAACTAGAACAGAACTAGAACAGAACTAGAACAGAACTAGAACAGAACTAGAACAGAACTAGAACAGAACTAGAACAGAACTAGAACAGAACTAGAACAGAACTAGAACAGAACTAGAACAGAACTAGAACAGAACTAGAACAGAACTAGAACAGAACAGAACAGAACAAACTAGAACAGAACTAGAACAGAACTAGAACAGAACTAGAACAGAACTAGAACTGAACTAGAACAGAACTGGAACAGAACTAGAACAGAACTAGAACAGAACTAGAACAGAACTAGAACAGAACTAGAACAGAAGTAGAACAGAACTAGAAAAAAAACAGAACTAGAACAGAACTAGAACAGAACTAGAACAGAACTAGAACAGAACTAGAACAGAACTAGAACTGAACTAGAACAGAACTAGAACAGAACTAGAACGAACTAGAACAGAACTAGAACAGAACTAGAACAGAACTAGAACAGAACTAGAACAGAACTAGAACAGAACTAGAACAGAACTAGAACAGAACTAGAACAGAACTAGAACAGAACTAGAACAGAACTAGAACAGAACTAGAACAGAACTAGAACAGAACTAGAACAGAACTAGAACAGAACTAGAACAGAACTAGAACAGAACTAGAACAGAACTAGAACAGAACTAGAACAGAACTAGAACAGAACTAGAACTGAACTAGAACAGAACTAGAACAGAACTAGAACAGAACTAGAACAGAACTAGAACAGAACTAGAACAGAAGTAGAACAGAACTAGAACAGAACTAGAACAGAACTAGAACAGAACTAGAACAGAACTAGAACAGAACTTGAACAGAACTAGAACAGAACTAGAACAGAACTAGAACAGAACTAGAACAGAACTAGAACAGAACTAGAACAGAACTAGAACAGAACTAGAACAGAACTAGAACAGAACTAGAACAGAACTAGAACAGAACTAGAACAGAACTAGAACAGAACTAGAACAGAACTAGAACAGAACTAGAACAGAACTAGAACAGAACTAGAACAGAACTAGAACAGAACTAGAACAGAACTAGAACAGAACTAGAACAGAACTAGAACAGAACTAGAACAGAACTAGAACAGAACTAGAACAGAACTAGAACAGAACTAGAACAGAACTAGAACAGAACTAGAACAGAACTAGAACAGAACTAGAACAGAACTAGAACAGAACTAGAACAGAACTAGCACAGAACTAGAAACAGAACTTGAACAGAACTAGAACAGAACTAGAACAGAACTAGAACAGAACTAGAACAGACTAGACAGAAACTAGAACAGAACTAGAACAGAACTAGAACAGAACTAGAACAGAACTAGAAAAGAACTAGAACAGAACTTAGAACAGAACTAGAACAGAACTAGAACAGAACTAGAACAGAACTAGAACAGAACTTATAACAGAAGAACTAGAACCGAACTAGAACAGAACTAGAACAGAACTAGACAGAACTAGAACAGAACTAGAACAGAACTAGAACAGAACTAGAACCGAACTAGAACAGAACTAGAACAGAACTAGAACAGAACTAGAACAGAACTAGAACAGCAACTAGAAGCAGAACTAGAACAGAACTAGAACAGAACTAGAACAGAACCTAGAACAGAACTAGAACAAACTAGAACAGAACAGAACAGAAACTAGAACAGAACTAGAACAGAACTAGAACAGACTAGAACAGAACTAGAACAGACTAGAACAGAAACTAGAAACAGAACTAGAACAGACTAGAACCGAACAGACAGAACTAGAACAGAACTAGAACAGAACTAGAACAGAACTAGACACAGAAACTAGAACAGAACTAGAACAGAACTAGAACAGCACAGAACTAGAAACAGAACTAGAACAGAACTAGAACAGAACTAGAACAGAACTAGATACAGAACTAGAACTAACGAACTAGAACAGAACTAGAACAGAACTAGAACAGCAACTAGAACAGAACTAGAACAGAACTAGAACAGAACTAGAACAGAACTAGAACAGAACTAGAAACAGAACTAGAACAAGAACTAGAACAGAACTAGAACCGAATCAGAACAGAACAGAACAGAACTAGAACGATAGAACAGAACTCGAACAGAAACTAGAACAGAACTAGAACAAGAACTAGAACAGAACTAGAACAGAACTAGAACAGAACTAGAACAGAAAACTAGAAACAGAACTAGAACAGAAACTAGAACAGAACTAGAACAGAACTAGAACAGAACTAGAACAGAACTAGAACAGAACTAGAACAGAACTAGAACAGAACTAGAACAGAACTAGAACAGAACTAGAACAGAACTAGAACAGAACTAGAACAGAACTAGAACAGAACTAGAACAGAACTAGAACAGAACTAGAACAGAACTAGAACAGAACTAGAACAGAACTAGAACAGAACTAGAACAGAACTAGAACAGAACTAGAAACAGAACTAGAACAGAACTAGAACAGAACTAGAACAGAACTAGAACAGAACTAGACAGAACCTAGAACAGAACTAGAACTAGAACAGAACTAGAACAGAACTAGAACAGAACTGAAAAACAGAAAACTAGAACAGAACTAGAACTAGAACAGAACTAGAACAGAACTAGAACAGAACTAGAACAGAACTAGAACAGAACTAGAACAGAACTAGAACAGAACTAGAACAGAAACTAGAACAGAACTAGAACAGAACTAGAACAGAACTAGAACAGAACCTAGAACAGAACTAAGGAACAGAATTAGAACAGATCAAGAACAGAACTAGAACAGAACTTGAATAGAAACTAGAACCAGAATTAGATTTGAAATAGAGCTAAGAACATAATTTGTTAATACATTTTCCTTTAAAGTTTTTCAATTATAGCATGAAAAAAAACCATTGCCTACTTCATGGCTTTTTTAATCCCCATCTTATTTACATATTTGCCTTTTTAATAAATACAAATATTTTAATATTTTTAATATCCATTTCTATGCAAATAACAAGAAAAAGAATTCCTTTTAAATAATTTCTTAAAACGTTCTTAAGACATTATCCCGCAGAAAAAAGTATATACTGAGAGAAAAAAATGATATTTGCCATTTATCTGTTATTTTCCCTTCAACTCAAATACGCTTTGATGAATAATCATAAACAATCATTCCCTGTTGCCTTTAATCAATCGCATTTAATGACAGCACGTTTCAATGAATTTCAGACGAAAGAACTTTTTTCTTGTGTTTTTGCTTTGAAGAGAAAAGTCTTTATGGTTTGGCTTTTCTCAGCAATTTACTTATAAGTTGAAATATTAGACAAAATTTGTAGTCGTAAGTAAATGTATAGAAAATTAAAAGAAGATTTATATTTCCGCTTTTTATTTGTATTTCACTGGTAAAGCAGCAATCACCGACAAATGTTTGCAGGTTGATCAACCCACAAT